CAAACACTCCAAACAGGTCGATCATGGAGGCAGCTTCAGAGCGACAGCCGTCAAACATGTCATCAATGGATTCGGTCGCCATATCCAGAGGTAAAATAGCAGTCTTGGTTTCCTGCAGACAAGAAGACGACTACAGTGATTCAAACAGCGACTGCAGAAGATCTAGAATAATTAGTGATTTTTAGCTACACAAAGTTATACTGGGATGACTGTGATTGTCCTACCTCGGCAGGTTTCTGAGGCCACCAGAGCAGTAAAAATGGATGGTGATACAGAAGCAGTGCAACCGACAAAAACACACAAAGGGCTGCCAGGTGTGTCGGTGACTTCAGCCCACATACCGGTCCTTTTCCAGACGTCATATCTGTAGAATAAAGAACAATATCTCTTTTGCCTCAGTTGCAAACGTGCATGGTTGTCATTTTCCACTCATTGCGAAATATCTAAATACTACACGTTACATAAATCAATGATATGTCAGTAGACTAATAAAAGCCTCCCATGGACAGGTGTTGCAAATTACAATTTTTTGAGTTAAGATATTTACATTTACTGAGATTGTATTTTCAAGGGAAATGCAAGAATTGTGGCTGAAATCATAATGAAAACTGCACCATAAATACTGTAGATAATCCCTTACTCTGCATCAACAATATATGAAAACCTTACCTTTGTGCAGGTTAATTCTCTCAACAGCAGCAAGATTTTCAGGTAAAACCACTCAGCAATGACATTTCTTCTTCTACACTTTTGCTCGGAGTTCATGTGGATCTTAACGAGCATGTGATGTTCAAACAGCTTTGAGTGTTTGATGAGAAATCCCATAATAATCTAGGAAAACGGTCGCGTCCTAGTCTGCAGCATGTGTGTTTCATGTTAGTGAGAGGGAGGTTCCACTACATGTGTGGTCAATCTGGTAAATCCTGTTCTGCAGCCCGCTCATGTTGAAACAAACCAAGGTGAGAGGTTCATCTTTTACTTTAACAAAGACTGGAGAACACACGTCTTTAAGCATATATACTTTTGCTTTTTTGGGGAGGTTAGTATAGGCTAAAAAAACAAACATTGAAAAGTCAGAGTATTATTTCTTTGATTTAACCGGGGCAACAGTTGCCAACCCCTGACCTATGACTGCAGTCAGAGAAGTGTCTCAAACCCCATTCACACAGGATTAGTATTACCAGGGGACCTCTGGTAATTTGGGAATCAACCCCCAACGTCTGTGTTTGGTGCAGCGCAGTCGCACAAGATAAACCAGGCCTGTGATTTACTCCAGAGATTTCTGATTGAAATTGTTGAGGCGTTGCAGGATAACCACCTCGTCTCTGGGGGCAGCATCCCACTTTACAGCATACAGACTGCCAGACACCCATTAGTTGAAGAAGAAGTCCACATCCGGTACAATTAGAATGGGATGATAAATAACGGACTAAAATAACTGCATAAATGACCTAAAATGCTGCACAAACCTTAGTTTACAATGTACAGCACAGCTTCTGTTTTTCTCAAGCGGAAAATAGGCAAAAAAGCAGCAGAAACCTTCTTAAATAAATAAAAAATACTGCCCCAAATTACTGAGATACTAATTTGGATTGGATTATCAGAGGACCTCTGGGCGTGCTAAAATATGGTTGGTAATTTGCCCTGGAATTTCTACATACTTTCTTATGAGTTACTGGCATGGTCGATTCACCCAGGATTAAAAACAGAGTCGTCCTCCGCGTTTATTAAAAATCACCAGAAGTTCCCAGGTAATACTAAAACTATGTGAATAGGGCTTCATTTAAAAGTTCAGATTGTTATTGTGCAATTATATATTTCCAGGAAATGTTGGAATCAAACCCTTACGTCAGTGTCATGGAAAAAAAATCACATCTCAAGCTTACAATGGCAACACTTTTATAGACATGGAGCGAGAAAGCCCAAGACACCCAAGCCCTTCCAGAGAGGGGGCGTGGTCAGACACAGCTCATTTACATTTAAAGGTACAGACACAGAAACAGCCTGTTCTGAGCAGGGCTGAAATAGAGGGGTTTATAGACATGATCAAATACAGGATCAGAGTGGATTTAGAACAAGAAATTTCACAGACATGTTTTGGGGAGTTCTGAGACTTATTTAAACTTGTTAAAGAAGAGAACAATATGTGGCTTTTAATTATAATCAATCTTGTTCCTGATGGTCTTGTTTGTTTTTCAAAGCTCATATAAATGCATCAGAATTTATTTTAGTCTCTTTCATGACCAGCTAAAAACTTGTTACAGGAGCTTTCAGTGAAACAACCATACACTCTATATGAATAATGGACGACGCAACACCTCGCTTCAAGTGAAGCCAAACGATTGAGCGCTCCCCCTGCTGACTGGCTGCATCAGAGGTCATGATGACATGATTGACAGCTCCGTTAACAAATGCAGCTCCTGCAGCGATGTGTGCACAGAATACTGTTCTGCTGTGGACTGTGCTGTCCTGAGGGATCTTCACTGTTCTATTGGTAAGCTAAATATGCATTCTTGGTTTTCCAGAAGTGACGAGACATCTGGCCTCAAATGTCATTGCTCGTCACAGAGGGGATTTGTTCAAGTCAAGAAGGTTGAGGCGTGTTGTCCTTATGTCTATACAGTCTGGGGTCATGACCTACTGCTCTTTAATAAGAGACTTACTCTCAATGTCACCAAAAGTATGGCCCACACCAGCAGAGCACCAAACAATGATGCAACAAAACTCTTCTGTCTTTGTTTTATCAGGACTGCGGAAATGATAGCCAACAATATTACGCACGATGTAATCATCCAAAAATGGCTGCTTGTATTTGAGTTTGTAAAACCTTTCCCAAAATATTTTTTCATTTCCCTGTCGCTTAATTTACAGTTTAGATCGTTCCTCTGTGTTTTGGTGCTCTGCAGCTTGTAGACCACGGTGCACCACGGGTCATCTGTTCGGACGTTGGTGATCTGGAAGACCTCGTACAGAGGAATCAGCACCTGTCCCATCTGTTCGGATGCAGAGTAATACGTTATATCAGCACCGAAGCATGAGTTGATCTCAAAACATGACACGTTGCCGTTAAAGGGAAATGTCTGCTTGCTCAAAGACGCCCAGGTGAAAGCACCAAAACGCATGTTTGTGTTGATGACATTGTGGTTAAAGTGCGTCTTTGTCCTGTGGTAGGTGGTTCTGCACGATGTTGAATTTTGACGCAGAACTTTGACAGCATCAGTGAGGTAGAAGTACAAATAGTGGAATCTAAATCCGTAAGTGTTGTACTCGTGTTTCCCTGTTTGCACCGCTTTGTTGAATTCCTGCTGGATAAATTTCACTTGTGTGTACATGTGCAAAGCGACAGCATGGTCGTCTTTCAGCTGTCTGTGCGCAGGTTTCTTTGCATTCCTTTCTGCCACAGCCCAGGCATAACTGAAGTTTCTATTGAAGCGCCACTCAAACACTCCAAACAGGTCGATCATGGAGGCGGCTTCAGAGCGACAGCCGTCAAACATGTCATCAATGGATTCGGTCGCCATATCCAGAGGTAAAATAGCAGTCTTGGTTTCCTGCAGACAAGAAGACGACTACAGTGATTCAAACAGATACTGCTAAAGATCTAGAGAAATCTGTGTTTTTAAGCGACACAAAGTCATACTGTGATGACCGACTTTCTTTTGCTTTTCACAACACAAAAGTGACAGTGTATTTTTACTGATAACAGTCAATAATAATCGTCCTACCTCGCCAGGTTTCTGACACCACCGAAGCAGTAAAAATGGATGGTGATACAGAAGCAGTGCAACCGATACCAACACACAAAAGGCTGCCAGGTGTGTCGGTGACTTCAGCTGAAATTACAATTAAAAATGGTCCCATTAATACTGTAAACAATGTCTTACTCTGCATCAACAATATATGAAAGGGGATTTTTTTGTTGGCTTACCTTTGTGCAGGTTAATGCTCTCAACAGCAGCATGATACTCCTCTCAGGAATAAAAGTGACAGTGCAGACGCAGTGAGGCTGCAGGTGAAGAAGTTCCACAGTGGCAAGATTTTCAGGTAAAACCACTCAGCAAAGACATTTCTTCTTCTACTCTTTTGCTCGGAGTTCATGTGGATCATATCAGGCATCTGATGTTCAAACAGCTTTGAGTGTTTGATGAGAAATGGGCTTGATTAGATTTTTTTCTCGTTTGCTGCACGAGTCGTGTTAGTGAATCAATCACCCCACACTGACTGTCATTTCCCTATTTTGAGGTACAATCTGGTAGATCCAGTTCTGCAGCTTGCTCATTGTTCGACTTAAGTTACAAACACAAACAGAACAGATTTTTTTTTGTGCTGATCAGGATGTGGTGAGCTACTAAAAAACTTCCGTTCTTATTTAACACATTTTACAGAAAAACACGTCAATTATTTGCATTTAATGCAGACTGGAGAACACTCTTTAGCCTCATTTTCAATTGCTTTTTTGGCAGGGCCTCAGAGGCTAACAAGCATTTCAAAGGGTGTCACAGAATAATTTGGTTGTTTTAATAAACTTGTTATAGGAGCGGGGTGTGTCTGTCTGTGAGTGGCTTAGTGCGCATGTGTGTGGGTGGGAGGAGCGAGAGAGAGGAGAGAGGGAAAGCGAGGCGAGAGTGTGTGTTTTCGGCAGGTATGTGGTGAGAGGCACGTTGCGATAGCGGAGACCGGAGCAGGAAGGTTAACATTTAAGTGTATGTACAGTTCAAGCTCTGCGAGCATAATAAACGGCCCGGAAGCCCAAAATAACAAGCCGGACTCTCCGTTGTCTGTTTACACCTTGCTGCACCCCAGTGAAGTGACGGGGGTTAGCCCCGAAGTTGAGAACCACGACTTCGGCCCTGGAGCAGATAAATAAGTCTCCCCTGTGCGCCCTGACCACGGTTGAAACGCGGAGCAGGAAGGTTAACAAACTGTTCAGAAAGTTAAATTAGTTTTAAGGTTGTTGTTTTTTGGCAACTAACTTATTTCTTCTCCCTTCCAGATGCATGATGCCTTCAGGGGAGGCTAAAGCATGTCAGAGAAAAGCATGTGCCATCACTTCTCTTCTTCTCGTGGTGGGACTGCTGATGTTTGTCGTCATATTTGTGACCCTCAGCTGGCAGAATATCGTTGGAGAGGTATCTAAATGTTTAACTTTGTTTGGCCTAAATAGATCATCTAGTGGCAGTAAACACTATAAAGTGAGTTTTCACATGAAATCCATGAGCTGTGTTTTTTTTTTTTTGTAGAATAACTGAGATGCATGATACCCTTTTTTTCTTTAGCTTACATCTCCATCTACTGGATTGATACAAAAACTGCATTTTTCTTTGTCATTTCACGATTCAATTCAGGATCCAGTCCATGACCTTGATGACTGCAGATCCAAAGCTACAGTTGTCACGGATGAAGCGATCATGCAGAAAGGGGAAACCAGCAAGAACTTCAGTGAAGCCTGGAGAAATGCAGAGCAAGAAGCAAGAGCACCGGCACACGTCTACATGGAGAAACATCACTCGACCGCCATCTACGCGTACACAAAAGTGATGCCGCAACATGTCAAACAAAGAACTGGGAGAGCAGAAGCCACAAGGACAAAACCACAAAGGGAGACATTTGAGTCCCGTTCCCTTTATTCGTCTCTGAGTGAAGCTGTTCAGATCCTGAAACACAGTCAAATGACGTGTCTCAGTACAGCTTACAGAACAGACACACTCTTACATCCAAACATCTCGAACAACACAATGATTCGCTTCAGCACCTTCATATTAGGTTCTGATTGGTGGAATAACACAAGGAGCACTTCCTGTTTTGAAGTTTACACATGTTTCGGTGCAAACATAACACATTACTCTGCTTTGAAACAAAGCAGCCAGGTGCTCATTCCCCCCTACGAGGCATTCAAAGTCACTGACACGCAGACGGACACACAGAGGTGTAAAGTTGTCTACAAACTGAAGAGCAACCTGAACTGTGTTTATGACAAAGAGAGCAACATGTTGCATCCAATATCTGCATTAGGGGTGGAGGCATTGGGGCTGATCTTTGGCATCACTTGTCTGGTTCTTGTGTCTCTTTTGCTTTTACTATTTGTCATGTGGAAGGTGACCGAAAACCAGAAGAAGAAAAAAGGTGTTTCCAGTGCTTCATTTGGGCAGAACAGCACTCACTATTCAGGAAGAATTGATATTTAAAAAAGAGGACAGACTTTATTTATGGTGGTGTTCATACATTATAAAAACAAGTAGACAACATATCATTGGACCCTGTCATCATGCCTCTGGGAGTCTTTGGCTTTCTGTTGTCTGTGTGATTGTTGCAGGGAGTGTGTCCAGGCTGGTGCATTCTCATCTACAAAGATCTGCTGTTTTTTTGTCTCTGGCCTCTGACGCTCTTCTTATATCTGAAATGAATGCATTATTTTTTTGTTCTCATGCTATTTTGTCCCTTCAGGCTCACCGTAGATAGTCGTTCTCAGTGTCTCCCTGTGTCTTTGAATGTCTCATTTCACTTTAACAAACTCTCAGACAGCTCAGCTGACAAGTCAAATTAATATCCACCTTATGACATCACACATTGACCTTTGTTACCGTTCCTTTGAGCTGTTTGACCTCAGTTTGGCATACCTAACCACTTCCTGTGCTTAACTTCATTTCCTAACCTTCACTCTACCAGAAGGGCCTTACTTTGTTTCAAAATAAAAGCACGGTTGAATTCAAACAGCTCAAACAGAGTTGAGTACTCTCATTATAAGACAGTAAAACCATTCAAAATGAAAGCATAACTATTAAATGCAAAAATTAATGAAATTTCAAACATTTGATTAAATATTAAAGAGTTCATCTTCAAGAAATGCTCACAGTGACTTTCTCTTTGGAAAACTCTATGGCCTTAGTGAGAGAGGTGACCACCAGAAAATAAAAACGTATTTCAGAAGTTATTCAACCCAAGTGCAGTAAACAACCCTAATCTTACAACATCGATGATGAGATCTGAACCATCAAATGAAATGGAGCTCAGCGTAAGTTCATCCTGCTATCAGCCTCATTACCACTCGAGTGCATGAAGACTTTGCACATTTATTTCCTAAATTGTTATAAATAATTGTTCACTCTTAATTAAGTCTCTCCTGATTGAACTGCTTCATTGTGTAATTAACTATGTCCAACATTTAAGACTGTGGGAACAGTTGGGCCTGATACCGACTGTATATTTATTGTAACTATGTACGTATGTAGAAATGTTGCTCGACAACTTAACTCATGAACACACACACTTCTGAGAACAACAGAACTCAGTGGAAAATGTTCAGCTCCTCAAAGATGTCAACAAGAGCAACCAAGCGAAGAGGTTAAAAATGTGAAGTAGGTTTGAAATGGAATGACAAGAGAGTGTTTATCTTTTGGATGGTGTGGTTTTAGTCTGGGTTAGTGACTCACATGATTTATCCAACCGAAGGTTTTGCTAAATATGCTGCATGGCAGGATTTTGCGGTTTCCACCAATAAGTTCTTAATGGTGTGTGTTGTGAATGTCTGCCTGAACTTGAACAGGCATAGAAGGTGACAGGACGCTGGACGACTCGACTTCTGTTCCATGGATTTTGTTTCCATTGTATTTATTTATACAGTTCTTTATGCAATCCTGTAGAAGCAGTAGCAGTAGTAATAGGAGGTTGTAAAAAAGACAACATGTTAATCAATGAGTCTCAAACAAAAAATACATACTGTTAATGTAGTCAAGAGCTTTACATTAACAAAAGCATAATTTAATTAATTTCTCATTTAAACAAAGTAAATAATCTGGGGCGTTGGTGGCGCAGTGTTTAGTGCGCACGCCCCATGTATGGAGGCTATGGTCCTCCAAGTGGGCGGCCCGGGTTCAAATCCAACCTGTGGCTCCTTTCCCGCATGTCATTCCCTACTCTCTGTCTCCCTGGTTTCCTACTCTGTCCACTGGCCTGTCTCTCCAATAATGCCCACAAATAAATCTTGAAAAAACAAAAGATAAATAATCAGAATTTAATAATTATATTGCATTACTAATTGCTTTAAACACATAATCATTTTGAACTTTAAATAAATAAAAAAAATTACACATAAATATAACTACTAAGTAATTTCCATATTATATATACACAAATATAAATTTATAAGGCTACTACTTGCCTTTAATCAATAATATACTTATCCTTATAGCCTACTTCAAATGCATTCAAGTAACTAAATCAGAGTTACATTGTTAGATAATATACTAGTTATTCAAACCATTCAAATAAGTCGAATGCATCTAAATTTAGCAGAAATATCAAATTGACCTTTCCCACAAATGGGATATAAATGTAAATAACACAAGAGCATGAACCATGCAAAGTTGTTGCATGTTTCTAACAAAGGACTATGCTCACCAACTACAGTAACAAAGGAATAAAGTCTTATCAATCTTTATGGTCTTCTCTTACATTGACTTGAGCCTGTGAAGTTTACTTTCGACTCACACACACAAAAAGGATAGCTTCTGCCTCCCAATTAAATCAACTCAGCCTGCTTACACACCTGGCTTGAGTGAGCTAATTAGCTTCACCCTACTTGCACCAAACCTAAGGTGCTGCCCTCTATTGAGCAATACTAACTAAACACAATAAGGCTGACTGTGCAGAGAACACCATAAATATTAACTTCTTAAAGACAATGAATGAAGACCAAACACTATTTTTTTGAATATTTCCCGTAGTCTTATTTTTGACAAAACAGTGAGGTATTGCAGATGAGCTTATTCTTCTTCCTTTTCATTCTATGAGATTATATAAATATCTCATTCTGATAGAATAGAATACAAATCTTTTTTTACAATGTAAGCTCAATGTGCTTTACACTGATGATAAAAACATAGGAGCACAAGAGACAGATAGCTATCTCAACAATCATGAATGTGATACAGAAATAAAGTTAGGAACAAAACAAAACAAAAAAACAGATACACAAAGAGTTACTATTCATATGCTTGAGAGAGCAGGTTATCTTTTTAACTTTAAAAGTAGATTTGATGGACCTCAGATCAACAGGTAGTTTGTTCCAGAGAGAAGGACCACAGTAACTTAAGGCCCCCTCTCCGGACTTTGATTTAATTCTTGGTATGACTGACAGACCTTCACTTGGTGACCCGAGGACCCAGGTCGGGTTGTAGTCTGTGAGTCTGTGATGAACACTGAACTCACAGGATGTCAATTCATGAATGTTACCAAATTCATGTTGTAGTTTATATACATCATTTTTTTTTAAAATCAGAATATCTTTAGTCTGAAACTATGTAAGGAAGTCAACTATAGTATCTGTAAGGACTCAGTCTGGAAGGACTCAGTATGTGAGGACTCAGTCTGTGGGGACTTAGTCTGTAACAAGGAACAATATATGATATCTTATTAAAAGCACATTTGATCCTTTTTGGCTAATTAAACACGCTAAAAACATTTTTTTTACTCAAAGAATTCCACAGAGGGAACAGACATGAGTATCGTTTAGTCGTAAAGCTCCTGTGAGGAGTTTTTCACTAGTTATCAAACAGACTGAAATAAACACAGATGCCCCTCCTGCAGGGTAGATGTCATAATTTTCCCAGAAATGATTCACAACCATAGACTGTAAATATTACTGGACGAACCCTGACCCGTCTGCTAGGCAGCAAATGAGTCCAATCGACTCAACATTTAATTTAAACAACACAATTAAAACGAATTATCTTCAACCCAAATATTCAATTAAAGTCTTAAAACTACACTTTTTAAAATATACATCTGAGGTTATTAGTTATTTGTCAGAGCAGTTACTAGACTTTGTCCGGGTTAGCAGAGCAATACATTAACAAAGTTTTATCAAAAGGCTAATCTTTACATTTAAATTCTCACATTGTGTTACAAATCATTACATGGATGTAAGAACATGTTTAAGGATAAGAAGTCTGTTTTACACGATAAAAGACGTGAGCTTTGGTGTCTTTTTTCTTTTCGTTGTTGTTGATAAAACTACTGTTAGACCATAGACTGTAAATAAATCTGTGAGACATCCAGAAGAAATCAACATTACAAAGCATACAGTTCATGTTACTGTTCTGACAAAAAGAGGAATGTCTGTGTCTTATATTTACTGATGTCAACAGCGACGTGGGTGAACATGACAATTGAAAATTAATATTTAGTATTTATTATAAGACATTTGTTTTCTATTGAACCCCGTGAAGTCATGGAGTCTGTGGTCAGTGTCAGCTTCACACCAAAAACTTTAAGTATTAGAAAAAAATGTGTTTAAGACTGGTATCTATTATTATGAGTTGCAGCTACCTTGTTCAATATTATTCCTGCAGATGTGGCTCATAACAAAAAAACACTCTGAGCTGTCACATGTAGTTAACTGTACATTTTGTCTTGTCTGAGGCATTAATTGAACACCTTTGTATTTCTCCTATAGACACAGTGTGGATTATTGGTGACTGGTCCATCGAGGTGCCCAGAGAGCTGCAGAGACAGAGGAAGAAACCTGAGCTTCAACAACATCTGTATTTGTTGGTTCTTCTGGGTTGGACTTTGGTTTCTTCTCTTTAACAGCTCGCTGCGAGGGAGGTCTCCCCTGGATCGCCTGAGTGATGTCACCCACAGGCTGAGAGCTGGAGCTGAGACGGGTTTTAAGCCTCTTGACAAACCATTACACCACGCTGGTCAGCTATACGCCTTATTGTGAATAACTCTTGTCCTTCATCAAATCAAACGACCCCCGTACAGTGTGTGTCGATCGAGACATGAGCTGATCAGACCTATTTGTTTGTTTTGTACCAAGCTGTAAACATGTTAATCTCTGCTGTAAAAACAGGCTTTTTGAATGTGGTTTTTCAGATTAAATAAATATTTCTATAGAAATGCACTCCTTTATGTCTACTTATGTGTATACATTTCAGATTTGAAATGACAAGACTAAAATGTGCATTAATGCTCAACTCAATAGCTTAGGGAAGGAAGTCTACTTTTACACAACTTTTTATTCTTTTGACATTTTGTTTTTACCAAATACTAATGTAGTTCATTTCTGAAAGTGGGATGAAACAGAGTCATTGCAAAAATTTGCCCTTAAACACAGCCCCATTCTTAAATCAGATACATGGAGAGTAAATAAGATCAATAACTTGTGAATAAAAACACAGTTAAA